AGTTAATAAAAAAGAGCCCTGAGAATGAATGTAAGAAAATATTTATTACAAAAATTTTTATTGTTGCTTTTCACAGAGTGACAGATTTATAGATCTAATCTGTGAAACATTCACTGAAACAGTAAATCTGTGAAATTTCAAGATTTCTTTTAATTACCTTGTACTTTATATATTAGATCCAAGCTTCCTTTTTAATCATTCTTTTTTCATACTCTAGGACAGAGGTGTCAAATTTGATTTCATTGAGGGCCACATCATGGTTATGTTTGATCTGAGGGGACCAGGGTGGGCATGGCCAAGGTGGGCATAGCCAGCTCGACACCACTCATGTTGGGGGCGTCTATGGTGGCCTGAGCGCTCTTTCAGTGAAAATGGGCTCCCAAGCTCTGTTTTTGCTGGCAGAGGCACCACGGGCAAATCCTTCACTGTTTCCAGGATTGCCCCGCAGGCCAGATCTAAGCACCCCACAGGTCGGATCCAGGCACTGGGCCTTGAGTTTGACAGCCATGCCCTTGGAAGATATCCAGAATATTATTATTATTATTATTATTATTATTATTATTATTATTATTATTATTATTATTAAATTAAATTTATATACCGCCCTACTCCAGAAGGACTCAGGGCAGTGAACAGCCAAGATAAAATACACATAGTACAAATGTTAAAAACCATTTAAAATATATTAAATACCATGGCCCGAAAACAAATTTAAAACACTCCAATTTATAAGACAAATTTAAATTTTAAAACGATTTAAAAAAGAGGTTAGGCCAGGACAGCCTGCTGGAAAAGGAAAGTTTTAAGGGCACGGCGGAAAGCACGTAGATCTGGGATCCGCCATATCTCTGGAGGGAGCTCGTTCCACATGGCAGGTGCCCCCACAGAGAAGGCTCTCCCCCTGGGGGCCGCCAATCAACACTGTTGACACTGACCGACAGCACCCTGAGGAGCCCCTCTCTGTGGGAGCGTACTGGTCTGTGAGAGGCTACTGGTGGCAGAAGGCAGTCTCGTAGATACCCTGGTCCTAAGCCATGGAACGTTCTAAAGGTGGTAACCAAAACCTTGAAGCGCACCCGGAAGACCACCAGGAGCCAGTGCAGCTCGCGCAGGAGGGGCATCACATGGGAGCGCCACGTCGCTCCCATAACCACCCGCACGGCCACATTCTGGGCCAGCTGGAGCCTCCGGGTACTTCTCAAGGGGAGCCCCATGTAGAGAGCATTGCAGTAGTCCAGGCGGGAAGTGACGAGGGCATGAGTGACCGTAGTTAACGAGTCCCGATCCAGAAAGGGCCGCAACTGGTGAATCAGGCAGACCTGATAAAAAGTCCTCCCGGCCACAGCCGTCAAATGCTCTTCTAAAGACAGCTGTGAGTCCAGGAGCGAGCCCTCTCCGTGGGGGCCAACGACTCGCCCCCAATAGTCAGTGATGGCACCAACTGAGTATACCGGGACGTCGGAAACCACAGCCACTCGGTCTTGGATGGGTGGAGCCTGAGTCTGTTTCTCCCCATCCAGATCTGCACAGCCTCCAGGCACCGGGACATCACTTCAAGGGCATCATTGGGGTGATCCAAGGTGGAGATGTACAGCTGGGTGTCATCAGCGTACTGAGCACCCCGAAACAACAGATGATCTCACCCAGCAGCTTCACATAAATGTTGAACAGAAGGGGCGAGAGGACCGACCCCTGTGGCACCCCACATACAAGGGGCCTCGGGGTCGACCTCTGCCCCCCTGCCAACACAGACTGTGACCGGTCGGAGAGAAAGGAGGAGAACCACCGCAACACGGTGCCCCCCACCCCTAACTCTTCCAGCCGGTGCAGCATGATACCATAGTTGATGGTATCAAAAGCCGCTGAGAGGTCTAATAGGACCAGGACAGAGGAGCAACCCCTGTCCCGAGCCCTCCAGAGATCATCGACCAATGCGACCAACGCCGTTTCCGTGCTGAATCCAGGCCTGAAGCCCAACTGGAACGGATCCAGATAAGCCGATTCATCCAGGTACTGAGGGAGCTGTTGCGCTACCACACTCTCAACAACCTTCGCAACAAAGCAAAGATTGGAGACTGGACGATAATTAGCCAACACTGCCGGGTCCAGGGAAGGCTTCTTGAGGAGAGGTCTCACCACCGCCTCTTTCAAGGCGGCGGGGAAGACACCCTCACTAAAGGAAGCATTTATAATCCCCTGGAGCCAGCCTCATGTAACCTCCCGAGAGGCCAGCACCAACCAGAAGGGACACGGGTCCAATAAACATGTGGCAGCGCTCAGTCTGCCCAGTATCCTGTCCACGTCTTCGGGAGTCACTGAATCAAACTCTTCCCAGATAATGTTCTCAAGACCTGCCTCCTTCCTCCCCCCTGAATCTACCCAGTCAGAGTCCAGATGTTCCCGAATCTGAGCAATTTTGTCATACAGATACGGTACAAAGTCCTCAGCTCTAGCCTCAATACAATTGTAGTGTGCATTTATTGTAATTTAAATTGAGTAATACTATTTTCATAATGGTTCCAGTAACATCAAGCAGAGGATTTTGGGGTGGGGGGGGGGAGGAAGTGCTGACTGCTTGGACCACTGTCTGCAACTTTCTTGGCAATATTTTAAGACATAATTTGCCATTGCTGGCTTCTTAGGGATTAGAGAGAGTGACTGGCCCAAGGTCGGCTTCATGGCTAAATCGGACTAGCACTCATTTTCTCATTTCTAGCCTGGTGCCTTAACCATTACACCAAATTATCTCTCAGCATGTTTTTTTAATCTAAAATGAAATTTAAAATTAATTTAATTTAAATTTAAAATGAAAACCAGCTAGAGGACTTTTCTCAAGGCTAGCCTATTTCAATAAAAACTACTTCACAGGAAAAAGGCAGCAGTATTAGGTATGTCCACTACCTTATATGTAATTGTATATTAAAATGGTGGAATAACAATAATAACAATAACTTTAACACCATCAGACAGCAACACCTGCTTATCTCAGATTCTTGGTAAGGACTCGATATATGAATAAAAATGCCAAAACCAATCTCAATTTCTGGTGGTGAAACATAATACTAATAACCAAAAAGGGAAAATCCTGAAAACTGAAGGAATCAAGACCCTATGGAAATAACACCAAGAATCTAGATGAAAAAAATCACAATAAATAACTGAGCATCCTTTAAACTAACAGCATTAAGCACACTGAAGTCAAGGAAAAGATTAGAAGTGAAGGACAAAGAGTGAAGAAAATCTTGGAAGTCCAAATTCAATGGAGCAAATATCATCAAGGAAATAAACACCTGGAATACTGGAGTGGGCTTCAGCAAACTAAATGCTCTGAATTGGAAGATCAAAAAAATAATAACAATCATGCCTTTCATCCATGCATCTACTTACAAAGGAAAATATATGGATGTGGTATGTTGGAAATATGTTAGATAGTGAAGAAGAAAAAAGACCATTGGAAGAATATCTGAACAGCAATGAAGAAAATGCACTGAAGTTAGTATACTAGGAAGGATTACTGACTATTGGAAAGATCAAAATTGTCTACAAGAAGGACCAAATAAAGAACAGAAAAGAGATGTGGGAAGAAAAAGTATTACATGGCTAGTATATTAAAAAATAGAGGCAAAGCAGATAATAACAACACCAGTAGCAGGTTTCAAATCCCGTCGCTACCGGCTCGCTCATGGCGTGCGCTGCTTCTGGGCATGCACAGAAGTGTCCAGGTGGGTGGGCAGAGCCTCCCACCGCTACTGATTCACCTGATCCGGGGCGAACCAGTAGCAACCCACCACTGAACAACACCATAGCTAAAAACAGGCAAATTGAAGAAAGATACAAAGGGCCTAATTCTGGCTGCACAAGATCAAGCCTTAACAACAAATGCGTACAACACCAGAATTGAGAAGATGGCAATATTCTGTAAATGTTGTCTCTGCAAAAAAGCTGAAAATTAGTGGGTCACCTGGATAGCTGCTATAAGAAGACTACACAGACTGACTAGAAAATACAAAGTAGCAATAATGGTGCATTGGAAGATCTGCAAGAAATGCCATTTGCTTGCAAGCAAGAATTGGTAGGACCATAAAATACAGAAAGAAAATGAAGACGCTAAAATGCTCTGGGACTTTAGAATTCAAACAGAAATGTATCTTCTACATAATACCCCAGACTCAACAATTGCCAATAAAAAAGACAAAAAGGTCTGGATAATGGACATGACAGTACCTGGAGGCAGCAGAAGAGAAGAGAAAGAACTGGAGAAGATACAAAGAAGATACAAAATACAAAGACCTGCAAATAGAAAAAAAAATGACTATGGCACAAGCAAGCAAAGATATTACGAATAGTAATAGGGACCTTGGGTGCAATCCCTAAACAACTGGAGCACCATTTGAACACTATCAGTATTGACAAATTTGCCATCAATCAATTGCAAAAGGAAGCTTTACTCAGAACAGTTTACATCCTGTGACCATATCTGTAACAACATCAAACATCCAAATATGCCTATCCCTTGGAAAGGACTCAGTAGATAGACAAAAATGCCAAATCCAGTCTGAACATCTGGCTTACTATGCGGCCAAACATAATAGTAATAATAATAAGATGGATAGCGATTAGAAAGGGGCAGACTGTTTGGTCCGCATATATACTATGTCAGTACATTGCTATATTCTAAGTTCTTGGAAAAAACCCAATGCATATGGAGGCCAATACCATTAAGGAATTAATAGCTGTAATTCACATATTGTGTAGATGATGATGATGATGATGATGATGATATAATATAATAATAATATAACAAGCTCCTTAGGAAAACCATTGCCAGATCTTCTGACTTTCTGTAAGGATTCATTTAGTCAATATTATTTTAACACAGTCAAAAAGTAGAAGAGGAAATCGTTCAACTAATGGTCTTCATTCCTCAGAGGCCTTTGTATGAACATACACCTGTTCAAAACTAAGACAAGATTGGAATTCTTATATTACAATTATCTTACCTCTTTTGCTGGAGTCATTGGGGTAAGATGCCATTGTTCTTTAATTTATTTTTCTTTATTTCTAATGTCAAAATGACTTACTACATGGATTCCAAGTAGTCCATCTGAGATCACTAATCTTTCTGTATATATTGTTGAATCCTTGTAGGCTTTTTCTGATAAATAAAGATATTTGACTTAATTTTTATAAAATCATACTCCATTGTATATATGCATGTAAAAAAAATTGTAATATTCTTTACAGCAGTGGTTCCCAACCTGTAGTCTGTGGATCTTGGGAGGGGGGGGCATGTTGTCACAGGTGGTCCAAGAAGGCTTGAAAAATGTTATGATTTAAATTTTGAGTTAAGTCTTGGGAGCCATGGCCATGAGTCCCTGGCCATAAAAGCATTTAAAGAGGATCCATGGTGAAGAAAAAGCTGAAAACCACTGCTCTTGAATATATCATTTATGGTATTGGTTGTTGTTTTAAGTTCTGCAAGTTAATTATTATTATGCTTTAGAAACTCAATGAACTTTCATGCAAGTAATGTGCTTAGTTCTCTCAGTGTTATTTGGCTTTATATTAATTTCTGATTTAAAGAAACCATAAGGTTTCTCAAACATATATTTGAATACATAGTTCCTCAATAAAAACAGAATAACAGAGTTGGAAGGGACAGTGGAGGTCTTCTAATTCAACTCCCTGCTTAGGCAGGAAACCCTACACCACTTCAGACAAATGATTTTCCGATATCTTCTTAAAAACTTCCAGTGTTTGAGCATTCACAACTTCTGGAGGCAAGTTGTTCCACTGATTAATTGTTCTGTCGGGAAATTTCTCCTTAGTTCTAGGTTGATTAGCTTCCACCCATTGCTTCTTGTCCTGCCCTCAGGTGCTTTGGAGAATAGCTTGATTCCCTCTTCTTCATGGCAGCTCCTGAGATATTGGAACACTGCTATCATGTCACCCCTAGTCTTTTTTTTTCATTAAACTAGACATACCCAGTTTCTGCAGCCGTTCTTCATATGTTTTAGGCCAATGATGGCGAACCTTTTCGGCACTGAGTGCCCAAACCAGAACGCACATGCATGCACGCATGCCAGAGCGCTGGAAACTCAAAGACTAGCTGGCTAATGCACATGCACACACCAGGCACCTGGTCTTCAGGTTTCCGGCATGTGCATGCATGCCAGCCAGCTGATCTTCACGTGCACCAGAGCACTAACCCTAACCCTAACCCAAAGACCAGGTAGCCAGCGCATGCATGCCTGTTTTTTAGCCATTTTTCAGGCCATTTTTGGGCTGTTTTCAGGCCATTTTTTGGCCATTTTCCAGCTCACAAAGACCAGCTGGCTGGCGCACATGTGCACGCCAGAAATCAGAAGAGCAGCTGGCGATGGCACGCGTGTCCACAGAGAGGGCTCTGTGTGCCCTCTCTGGCACGCGTGCCATACGTTTGCCATCATGGTTTTAGGCTCTAGTCCCCTAAACATCTTTGTTGCTCTTCTCTGCACTCTTCTAGAGTCTCCACATCTTTTTTACATTGTGGCGACCAAAACTGGATGCAATATTCCAAGGCATTATAAAGTGGTATTAACACTTCACGTGATCTTGATTCTATCCCTCTGCTTATGCAGCCTAGAACTGTGTTGGCTTTTTTGGCAGCTGCTGCACACTGCTGGCTCAAATTTAAATGGTTGTCCACTAGGACTCCAAGATCCCTTTCACAGTTATTACTATTGAGCGAGGTACCACATAGACTGTACCTGTGCATTTTGTTTTTCTTGCCTAAATGTAGAATATTGAGTTAAGAGTTGAGAAAATACATTAATTTAGTGTGTGTGTGAACATATCTACCGTATAAACTGATAAATTAAGAAACCTTAGGAAGAATTCCAATCTAAAAAATATTTTAAGAAGTTCAAGTCGAGTAATATTTTAGTACCATGTGCAAAGAATAGCATCTTTGAATATTCCTTACTTGGCTGTGGAACCACAATATCAGGATCAGAGGAGAGCAACCAAAGTGATAAAAAGTCTGGAGGAAAAATTTAGGAATAATATTAGAGTTGTTGGGTTTGTTTTACGGGGGGAAAATATCTATGGGGAAGCACAATAACTTTCTTCAAATACATTAAAGACTCTTGTAGAGGATGGGGCAGATTCATTCCAAGTTGTAGAAGATAGAATGAGCAACAGTTATATTACAAGGACACAAATTTCAGTTGGAAAACCTAGAAAAAAAATAAAGAGCTATTCAACAAGGAAATAGACTTCCTCTGGAAGTTGTGAACTTTTCTTCCTGAAAATATTAAAACAGACTAGATCAGTGATATCTAACTTCTTTGCTGTCATGTGCCAAAAGCGGGGGAAGCGCGGGGGGGTCACGTGCATGCATGCCCACACCCATAATTCAATGACCCCCATGCATGCCCACATGACCTCCCCTGCGCTCCCCCTGCTTTTGGCATGCAATAGCAAAACGGTTACCAGTAGGTCCGTTTTTCACCCTTCCCAGGCTCCAGAGGCTTTCTTGGAGCCTTGGGAGGGCGAAAACGGCCTTCCCCATCCCCCACAGAGGCCATCTGGAGGCTGGAAATGGCCCATTTCCTGACTTCCAGTCTAAAAAGGCCTAAAAATCAGCTGGCCGGCAGGTGCATGTGCTCTGGAGCTTAGCTAGGGCAACACTCACGTGTCCACAGATATGGCTCTATGTGCCACCTATGGGACGCATGCCATAGGTTCGCCATCACAGCACTAGATCATCATCCATGAGGAGTGCTGTAATAGTGGATTCCTGCACTGAGCATGAGTTGGACTAAATAATCTGCAAAACCCACTATAAGCCTTATATTCTATGTCCCAAAGTTGTTGGGTTTTTTCCAAATTCTATTTATATTCTATGATTGTGTTATCAGAAGTTGTGAAGAAATTCCCATTTATAAATGTGGTTCTGGGATAATTCATTTGGTCCAAAAATGTGATGTCTCCTGCAGGAATTCTTAGCATTCTTCATGGTCTCCTAGATAGTGAGTTCTGGCCATGTTAAATACTTTTTACTACATCATTTAAGCCTCCTGTACATAAATTCAAAAGTCAACCGTATTTTTCTCCCAACACATAATAGTAATGATTTACATCTATCATGCATTAGTAATATTGGTCAAGGAATAAGAAAAGAAGGCTCCTAATCTTTAAAATCAGCAGATATCACGAATGAATAAGGAATGAGCAAGGAGTGTATTTGTATGCGTTTTTATGTGTTCTATCTCATGAATAATTGAAGGAAATTCAGTTATCACGTGTTTGAAAAAAAGCCAGTTGGATTCTAGTAATACAAATGTAAAATCGATGTAGTTAGCTTAGTTTGTTTTCATCCTTACATACACGGACATACACATATGCAACACACCCACAGAGACACAGGATTTATATTTATACTCTCTCAATTCATTCATAAAGAATTTGTGCTAAATTCACAGATATCTAGAATACTTTTAGAGAGAAAATAGCGTTCCAACAGCTAGAAAACAGAAAGCAAGAATATTTAGTCAAACTGGTTTTTGTGAGTTTTTTTTAATCTTTGTCCCCCTCCTATTTTCTCCAGTTGTAAAAATTACAGTGATTACACATCATAAAGCCTATCTGTAATAAAACGCATCAGCTGGCCAAGGTTTTCATCGCTCACTCAATAATCCATTAATACAGCAATGCTGCCCAGGCATCTTTATAATACCAACTCAGAGGTAATTTTAATCAGCTAGACCAGCTGGTATTTAACAGCAGCTGCTGGAGATGCCACAAATATACTCAATAGCTGACATCTTTATTTGCAGTTTTTCAAGGGTAGACAAGATCTCCCCATAGTTACTTAGATTAGGTTTTCTAAAAGAATACTGTATATATGAAGGTAATCTGATTCAGTGCAGGAAGGGTTAATGGAACATATGTATTTTATGCAAATATTTTTAAAGAAAAATAACATAGTTATACTTAATATGCTATTTTTGTTAATAACCAATTCAATAGAAATGTAACAGAGCATCTTCTCTTTTAGCAAAGCTTTTTGTGTCTGTGTCTGTGTCTGTGTCTGTGTGTGTGTGTGTGTGTTCAGAAGTGAAGCCTAACTATATGCAATGAATTTTTTGTCTTCTTTAAGTACCATTTTCCATTTAAGTTTAGATATGCATTTCACTCTGTATAGTGTTGAAGCTGTGAACTTTGGATGCCCTTCACATCCAAGGCATATTCTGTGGAGAGAGTGGGAATGGGAACAAGAAAGGCAACATGAAGAAAACACTCACATAAATAAAAATGTAATTATGATTGAGCAAACCTGACTAACAAATAGAATAAAATAGAAATCTATAATAAAAGATTGGCAACTAGGGCTTGTGTTAGAGTCCCTATGCCTCTCTTTTTCTGGATCTAGTACTTAGTGCTTTCCTAGTTATACTACAGAGGTTGTATTTTGTTATGTGGAAACTAGTATGATTTATTAAACAGGGTTGTCAAAGTGCAAAATGAAAACTCTTCTAAGTATTACTTATATGAGTATTTTCTAGGTTAAATGAGAATTACATATTTTAATATTGAGGTATACTATTTTGTTTTGCAAAATTCATGGTTTCTACATATACATCTGGGATATAATAGAACTTAATAGTATGTTAGGCAACAATTAAATGAACATACACACTTCAGTTATGTACAATATTATTAGCAATAAAATTATTTCTGATAAAAGCATTTGCTGTTCAAGTATCAAGATACAAATAATTTTTGAAGCAATATTCCATAATGAAAATCAGATGGATTATGTTGTTAGTGTTTCATGTTTAATCTACTAAATGTATCAATACTTTTACTTGTTAGGATTGCTTGTGTCTTTATTAGAAATGAGAATTTGAATGCATGTTTTTTTATCCAAAGTGAGGTAATATTAAATCAAACAGAAAAACAGAGTTAACTTAAAAAGTAAGATGTATTTTTTACACTTTTAAAATACTATATTTAACTTAAAATAGCATGTACTTTTTGTTTGCTATGATAAGT